GGACATATATAGAACCTTTAAGATGATGAACAAAGTAAGATGTTTATTGCATGTTACTTTATATAATATATTAAGGGAAGTATAATAAACACCAAACAGCGAAGATTGTCATCTAGAGATAACTAAAGGTAATCTAATTCAAGGTATAGAAAAATGGAGAGGGAATATGAAATATACCTACAATGGGAAACTATTGTGATAAAAAGACAGAATCACAAATTGGGTGCATATAAGGATATATATCTATATAAAGATGAAGAGAATAGCTGGGAATTGTAACCAGGTCTACAGCTCGACCAAAATTAGGTTGGGTTTTTTAAAAAAACACAATGACTATACATGTATACTTTTCTGTTATATCACTTTTTTACTAAAAAAGAGGAGAAAAATTAAATATGCATATTGAAAAAGAATTATAAATACCATCAACATAAAAGGGAGCTTGCTAAGAAGCTGAAATACACAAGTAAATGAAATGAAGAGTGGGAAGTAGAGGAGAAAGGGAAGGGAAGAAGAGATAGGAGAGGGGGCAAGGGGAGGGGGAAGAGAAAGAGAGAAATAAGGAATGGTAAGGGGAGGGAGAAGAAGGAGAGAGGAGGGGGAAGTTGAGAAGAGAAGGACAGGGAAAAAAGGAGATAGGGACGGGGAGGAGAGAGGGAAAAGAAAATGATTGATAAAGTGCAAATATGGTGTATGTAGAGCAGAAGAGCCAATAATTGGTTTTTGGGAGTTGTTGGTAAGATGAATTGAGGTAAACATTTAACAATACAATATGATGTTGGTTATGTAATAGTATACATGTGATTATATGTTATGAAAATGGAAAAATAAAAAACTTTTAATCAGAAGAATGCCAAGAATTCAGTCAGTTGTCTTCATTTATTGTACAGGTAGTCCTCAATGTACAGCCATTTGTTTAGCAACAGTTCAAAGTTATGACAACCTGAGAAAAAGTAATTTATCACCCATCCTCAATATTACAACCATTGTACTACTCATTGTGAGTGCTTGGCAACTGGCTAACATTTATGATAGTTACAGCATTGCCCAGTAACATGATTGTAATTTGTGACCTTCCTAGATGTCTTCCAACAAACAAAATAAATCAGGAAAGCCTCATTCACTTGACTGTATGATCCGCTTAATGACCATGGTTAAATAATCATAAAATTGGACCCAGTCATGGCGATGAACTTGCTTATGACCACATCACTTACCAACTGAAATTTCAGTCCCAACTGTAGCTATTAAATCAAGGACTACCCGTAATTAAATTAACCAGTTCAGATAACTATTATAGTTCAACAAAGTACCTCTGGCCTATTCTGAGAAAAGATGCCAATGAATTGATCCGATGAAGGTTTACATCCTTTGTACAAAAGGCCTGATCCCAAATATTCAGCTCTGTCCAGGACCTATAGATAGAAGTGAAAATTGGTTGTTCTTCATATTTGCAAAATGTTTGGATTCTTCATACAAATTTCTCTAGAACCAACCTGCTGATAAGATAGCCACTGGTATGGTTGCTTTGGTTTTCGATATCCTAAGCAAGAACCATTTTCTGCAAAAAGAAAAATGTGTGCTTAAGGAATACTGAAAATTATTGAATGTCAGTGTGCTTAATTTAATGGAACTTTCAATAAAATTTCAAATATAGTTGCTGTTAAGCAGTGCTTTTAAAGTGCAAGGGTTAACAATGGTTTATCTGTAATATTAAACATTTTGGTTTAAATGTACAGGAATATATTTCCATTTAAAGAATTATATTATACTCTGTCTGAATGTTGATTAGAGAAGTTTTAAAAAATATATAAAGTCATTTCAAGAGCTATTACTTATTAGAAATCTTCCAATAGCTTTTATTTTCTATTGTTCATTGTCATAGTTAAATAATGAAGTGCCTTAATTAAGAGAGAATAAACAGTATGAAGGTAACTGAAGCTTCATATTTTGATCTATTTAAGCATAGCAACACTGAGTACTTGTGGGCCAATGAAATGAGGCCAAATAAATAAATTATCTGTGATGAGCTATTCCCGTTAGAGTTGAAGGCTTTCATGGCTAAGCCAGGCACTCTTTCTCAGCCCACCCAACCTCCTCATAGGATTGTTGTAGGGAAAATCTGAGGATGTGCTGGATATGTCCTCTATGTTGAGTTACTTGTAAAAATAATAAAGATGGAATACAAATAAATAAATAAAGGATATGTTAATGGGGAAGATGCTATGTTTGTTCTTCTCCCTAGTACTGTAAGTCAAAAAAGTATCTTAAGTTATATGCATGGATAGCTGAAATCAGGGAAATATTTAATTAACTAATCCTTCATCAGATCTGTGTTGTGTTTCAGATTCAAAGGCAAAAGCCTTTGAACCCTAACCATAAATATCCTAGAAAGATCATGATCTATAGTTTTTCCAACGCAACTAGAAACCAACATGCCAAAAGGAGTCCTTCCATAGCATTTTATTGTTAAGCTGTTGTTAAATGCCACAAAATGAAAAGTGCTACACAATCCATTTCAATTGTGATAGGATACAAGGCCAACCATTCAAATTAATACCAGGATAGAAAGTATCTAGACATCAATGATCATTTGATTTGATGTATCAATGTTCTTGGACTATTTAGCCACTCACCTGATACAGAACGTCCTCTTTTGAATCCTTCATATAAAGTTTTTGCATCCTCAAAGTAATAAGACAGAAGCTCTCCTTCAGGAATAAGTGTACTTCTTCTACCTCCTCCCTACATCAAGGAATCATTACTGTTAATTTGTATCTCCATAGAAAATGCATTTCAAAACCCCTTAACCAATCTGAGTTCATGTTTTTCTGACTTAGTTGTCAAATATAGCCAGTGCCAGACTAAGTTCCCACTATGATCACTTCTTTGGAAGCCGGACGCTTTTAATGGAAAGGCCACATTTGGGGTGGTGAGGAAACACAAAATTCACTTATAAAGAGACCCAGCATTTCTTTTACCTCAGTGCCAATAGATTGATTGTTGAGGTCAACAGGCATTACAATTGGTTTGGGTTTTGTTATCAACCATAGAAAAATTGTTGTTCCAAAAGTAATAAGACCAATCAAAGCAGGAGTAGGGAGTGGTGAAAATAAGAGTTGAAGTATCCAAATCATTCTGATGAATTATTTCTGCCAGACTGCTGAATCCTAAAATAAGAGGAATCAGAAAACAGAATTTCATTACAAAATGGAGATAATAATAGCCATAATCATTTAGATTGGTCCTTGTGCATTTTTAATTTAAGCCAAACAATGTATTTGTTAACAGTCTGAAACTATTATGTAGGTCATTGGTACATGTTATTTTCACCTATCTTTGTATTCTATACCCTATTAAAATAATGAAGAGTTAAAGGGGACAACTAAGAATCAGATTGTACTGTTAATGCTCTTTGCTTAGAAGGCAGATTAAATATGAAATAAATAATTCCGGATAACTATGGTACTTCAGGACCTGATAGTTACACATACACCACTGCTAAACTAAATTAAAGTGAATATGAAAATCCAATTATTTACAAACAAGGTGAGCTCAAAAGCTGAGCTCAAAACAAACGTAGCTCAAAATAATAAACTTAGCTAGTGTTTAAAGCTTTCTCATTAAGCTTACAATTTCTTCTGCAAGACATCCATCCCTTCAAAAAATTGTCATTTTCACCCTTACATTTTTCACTCATGCCAGACAAAATAAATATGATATGTTGTGGATTTCAAAAGATTCATTTTTAAAGTTCATAAAAGCTTTTCAGGGAGAATTTCAAAAATTCAGTCTCAAAAGAAATCAATAAGGTTTATATTTGTGATTCCAAAACTTCAATTATTACTGATCAAACACAAAATAATTTGCAAAAAAAAATATTACAGGGATGCAAAAGGCATTTCAGAAATACATTGGAAATACTTGCATTTTAACTTTAAAAATCATTGCTTACTTTAAGGCAACTAAAATACATGTTGTAAACTAGAAACTGGCTTTTATTCTTGCAGTCAGCTGATTTTCCAACTTGAACACTTTGATTTTAGGGTTCACCGACAAAACCACGACCGACAAAACCGTGACCGACTAAACTGCGGTGACAAAACCGCGAGTTCTAAACCGTGCCGACAAATGAGCGCTGAATCGCACCGACAACAGCGCAGTGACAGAAGCGCGCTGTGAACCTAAACCTAACCCTAACCCTAAACCTAACGCTAACCCTAACGCTAACCCTAACCCTAAACGTAACCCTAATCCTAACCGTAAACATAACGCTAATCCTAACCCAAAACGTAATGCTAACTCTAAATGTAACCCTAACCCTAACCCTAACCCTAACCCTAACCCTAACCCTAACCCTAAACCTAACCTTAAACCTAACCCTAAACCTAACCCTTACCTTAACTTAAATCGCCCTTCTGTCGATGCGCTGTTGTCAGCGCGTTGATGACATCGCGGTTTTAGCGACATGGCTTTGTCAGTGCACTTTTGTCGTGTGCACTTTTGTCGGGTCATGTGATTTTAGTTATGCCTCAGGATATACTTAGTACCCATTTGAAGGACTCTTCACATATAAATATGAGTAAACGTATTTCAGAAATTTTAAAATTAGCTCATTTTAAGCTAACATTACACTAAAAAATTTAAGATTAACAGTTATTTACTTAACTGAGGAATTTTAATTGGCTAGGCTTACAATACTTTATGTCTTTTCATTTCAAAACTGTAATGAGACAGTACAGGTACTTTTATTAAGACTTGCAGAAATTAAATTGACTTAGCAAAAGTAGTCTTGTTACTACCTCAACTGTATTAGCCAAATTATGTTTTTACTTCACAAAGACAAAGTTCAATCAGGATGGTTTTCAGATTCAGTTGTTTGCAGGCTTAGAATGTGTGCACTCTCTCTTTGTCTCTCTCTCTCTCTCTCTCTCTGTGTGTGTGTGTGTGTGTGTGTGTGTGTGTGTGTGTGTGTAAACTCATGAATAGTAAAGCCAAAGAAGACAAAAGAAATAAATATAGATAGTACAGTGATAATAAGTTTTAACTATATTCAGGATTACCTAAACATTGTTACATAATCAATTGATTATGACATTTAGCAATAAAAAAGCCCTTTGTTCTAGTTCATGACACAGGAAATGGGGTCAAATTGCTTGATGGATTGTAACTCAGCTATTTCACACTCAAATGTGTAATTTCTGTGTTTCATGTTCCTCTGACCTACATTCTGTCTTATACTGAAGTAGATGACTATATGCAAATACAGACCCATGCTCAGAATTACAATGCCCCAATCCTTGGGTTTTTAGAATTCTGATTGAGAACAATTTTGCTTTATTAATAAAAGTGGGCAATTCACCCCCAAAAAATGAGGATGAAAGATTGCAAGCATGTTTTTCATAGAGAAAATCATCCTACTCCTGTTCCTAAAGTGAAACAATTTTATTATGAATAAATATGAATGATGAATTTGACAGCCAAATAGCTAGCGTATCAACATAGCACAATCCTTGGAAATTGCTGCCAATAAATGTATGGAACTGGCATAAACCAAAACTAAAAGCTCAATCAAAATGGAACCAGTTGGCTCTTTTATGATATCAAGCTAGAAACTGGGAGATCTAGACCTGCCTTAGACACAAAGCCAGACAGGTGACATTGGCCAATCTCTTTCCCTCTGTCATTGTCCTTCCAATGACAAACCACTTCTGAAAAACCTAGCCAAGAAAATTGTAGGGATTTTCCCCCCCCAGGCAGGGTCCAAAAGTCAGATTGAATGAAAGAAAAAAAATCAAATATTTTCTAGAAGAACAACATGTGTTACATCATATCCTAGCAGTAAAGCTTGTTAAAATTAATTGTACAAGAAGCTTTTTCTCTTGAGGTAGATGGAATAATAATTAGCTTCCTCTACTGGCCTAGACAAACTAGCTTTGAATTTAATAATAAGACACAACTTGTAATAATAATAGTGGAAATCCAAATGACAAAAACATTGGAACAGTGGAAAGAATATAAAAAGGTGTGTGATCTCTTTTCTCCATTAAAAAAAAACACCCAACCACATTAAAAAAAACCTAAGAACTAACTTGACTAATTTGATAAAGCATATCAACTAGTTATCACCAAAGATAATTTTTGCACTCCAATTTCCTTTGATTCCAATAATTACATACCTATAATGGGCATGCACACAGGATAACCTTCAGGATAACAATTGATATTGTGGAATATATTCATTGTATATATCTTCTTAATAAGATATATGTGAGAAACATTTGGTAGCTATTCATCAGGAACTGTAAAAGTTCACATGTTCTTTAATTGAATCTTTAATATGCCTAATTCATACCACACCACCTCCAATTTAAAATAAAATAGGAAAAAGTCCAATAAAGGAGAATATTTGTAACTTCTGGATTGAAATGAGGGGTCCTTGGTGCTCTTTGAACTTAATTGTTTTCTTACAGATGTTTCAACCCAAACTATCATAGGTTACTAAGCCTCAGCAAAATCTTCAACAGAGTGTTCACAATATTCTCATTTATGAAATAAAACAATATGGGCTAGACAGTGGTGCCTTCCAGATCTCATTCCAACTGTACTGGGCCCGGCATCATTCATATAGATGCATGTGCTCATGCTCAGCATGCGCATGCTCAGAGCACACATGTGCCTTACCACTTCCGTGAGCCTCCGCGATGCTCCAGCTGCTCAGTGGAGCGTTGTGCAGGCGCTGTATGCGCCGTGGCCAGAAGCGCCAAATACTTAAAAGACCAGTAAGGAGCTTGAGTGGGCGGGTGGGCCCTCCGGAGCACTGTAGTGGAACAGTATCTATTACAGGCTCCAGTATGCCCGTGCCAGGGCGTACCACCTGCAAACCACCACTAGGGGTAGATGATATTACTATTAGTTTGAACCAAATTACTACATTCAAAGAGCATTGATTAAGGTTTCCACATCCATGTGGAAGAAAACATTAAATGGACCTGAACCTATTTACCATTTTTATTGCTGACCTATGTAAAGAAGTAGAGGTTAAAGTTTACAAATGACAGTAAGGTAAGGAGGTGGCTGATAATTCAGATTAAATACAAATATTTAAAAAGATCCAGACAGGCTTGAATAGTAGGCTAAAATTAATAAGAGAATTAAGTGAAAGAAAACTAAAGTTCTACATTGGTAGAAAAATGAGGGACCAGTCTCTTATGCCGTACTATATAAGCTGTCTAAGTAGTAATAATAGTGATAGTAATAATAGTCATACATTGTAAGTGGATTACTCTGATCCACTTGTATAATATCCTCTAATCTAAAACCAAATCAGAATGTTGCTTTGGAATTGCTAAGACTTAAAATGATCAAAATTTAATACTTTCAAGATCACCCATCACTTGCATGCCAAGGAATGTCCTAAGTTTAAACAGTTTCAAGTGATAAGGAAGAAGTTTAATCATTGCATAAGATTCTGCAAACTGTGACTTTTGCCCTTTAGTGTATACATTACTAATTTATTAACATGTTGAAAAGTGCTCACTCCTCATTAGTACATGAAGCCCTTCTGACCCATTTATCAGTAAACAGAAAGATGATTATTGCAAGATAAATTCTAAAGTTCACACTGTTGTGAATTTACAACGACTCTTATCATTTAAGTCTTAAAGTGGCAGAATAATTATTTATTATTAACTAAGACTCATTCAAAGGATTTTTCATCTTTTAAGAAAAAACAATTCTTATTAAAACTATTGTTGGCAAATGAACTAATAGAATTGTTAGATTTGAAAATAAATTAGTAATTAGCATTATTTAATATATGGTATTTAATATTCTCTAATCTCAGTGATGGAAAGATGAAATATGGGAATAATGTCTACCAATAAATTAAGAGTTTCTTAAGACCTGACTGGAAGCAGTAAAATGATAAGAAGCTAACTATTGCTGCTCAAAGTAACTTAGCAAATTTTACTTGCAAAAGAACCCTGTAGAAATATTAAGATTTTGTAATTTACATAGGGCATACCAAGAAGTCCTTCTACAAATGGATTTCTTAATGAGAAAATTTGCATTATGTTACTAATGCTAAATAATCCACTTTTGAGAAGAATTTAGTACCTGTAAATTACATATATGCTATTTTATTTATATGTAAGGGTGTAGGTATATACATATATATGCACACTTTTGAGAACAGGAAACAGAATTTCATTTTCAATATCTGTCAGTGTAGCCACAGTAAAAAATTACAATGAAGGTTATCTTATTTTAGGTGGAATGTTATTTCTTCAAGAACTAGAAAGGCAAGCACTTACTCAATCCTGAGACTCATCCATCATCACTTTGAATTACAGAGTGATAAATCAGTTTGTTTTAATCATGGCTTATTGAAAGCAGAATTATTGGATTCAAATGTGTGTTAAGCCAAAACTAAGTCAACTGCATCATGGCTTCAGTACAATATGCAAATAAAGGCAAGGAGATTTTTAATTCACTAAAAGCAATGAATACCAGAACCCTACCCCCCCCCCCAAATTAAAGATCATTCATACTAAACCAGATATACGGTAGTACTTACATGAGCTTGTGCTACTCTTGATTTTGTTTGAATAACCTTCCTTCCAAGCTGGAACTAAAGAAGCATTAAAACTTCACTAGGCTATACTTAACTGCTGAGTAACAGTCATTAAAAGCAGGAAAAAAATGTTAACATGTGATTCTCTCCCAGAGACTAGAGAAACACCCAATAGGACTACTGGAAAAGGTGGAGAAGTGTAGATTTCATATAAACAAATCCCTTTTCTTTTGTAGTCTGTAGGATTTTCTCCTCAGTCAAGATTTTATACAGTTACACCTTGAAGAACTAAATTAAAGTCAAAACCAAACAAAATTATTGCTTAGCATGAAGTGAGAATTTTTGCAATTAATCCAACCAGATACTATACTGAGTTCACAAATCACATTAAGCTTTCACAATGTTTGAGGTGGAGTTAGTATGATGAGTTAACCATCCAGTCCATTAACTATATCTGTATATCCAGTTCAACTACTTTGGATGTATACCAAATAATAATGGCTTATTGAACATAAGGTTAAAACAAACCTTGCTTAATATTTAAATGTAGCTCAAATTAAAGAAAGCTATGATAAAAAACAACAGCAAGAGTTTTAAATTACATTCTCACAAACGTTACTAGATATACAATAATAAACTATCCGCTTCTGACACTACATAATCCTCCAGAAATGTCACTTTATGCATTCATGTTTGAGAAAAAAATTGTCTGCCTATACCAACATTAATAAATAACAACTTAAATTCCACTTACCAAACTGTCACTATTCACTATAAGCTGACTGCAGACTGCATATCCTTAAATAATAGTTACATTAAGGAAGTGCTGAAAACAGCTGCAGTAAAAGTCAGACCTCTCTATGAGGAAGTGACTAACTGTTCTCAAGGTTACAGTATTTACACATCTAATGAGCAATAATTTTGTAGGGCTGATTTCTGCAAATATTAAACTGTCTTCTGTTCTCTGAAATGTACTAGAAAGTGAAGAATTCTAATACCCATATTTAGATAAAAAGTGTCAGAAAATAAAATGAATTGCTTATAGACTTTTCCCCCTGAAACATTTAAATTTTTATCCCCATTTTTGGGGGGACATTAAAAATTTCAGTCTTTATAAGGAAAACAATGCTGAATCTGAACTGTTCTGAATTTGGTACTTAATCCTAAAATTTTATTTTAGCTATGGTACATACTAGTTTATTAGTACTTAGAAGTTAATCATATTGTATTTAACAGTGAGTTGTCATAGTTTTAATTTTACATAACATAGTTTATTTCAGCTTAAGCTGTAGAAGTATTTAATTAAAGTTATGTTGAATCAAGGTGAACATAAGATCTTCATTTAAGTTCATGTTCCAATGATTCTCGTCTTGTATCTGTGAAAAGAACATATTCACACATTGAAAATAAAATTTATCCTGTCATTATCTTCTCAAAGATGGATTCAAGATAAGCTATTATTTGTTCACCAAAGCATTTTGGTTAACCAATATGGTCAGCACATCAACTAAGCTGTGCATTACTGTTATAAAACACTATGATATGTTCGTACATCATGCAAAATCAAAATAAAATTATATTTTAGCACAGAGTGCAGTGGAAATCCAGTCAACATTTTCCTACCAATTTGTTAAAAATAGGAGAAAGGATCATCAGTACTGGGAAATCCAAAATACACAAAACTTAATGTGTAAATCAAAAAGTAGAAATGGATAATTGCTTAATTAGAGGCTTAGTTATATTTTAAAAGGGCAAATTATGGCATCATGGAAATGGTTTTAGAAAAACATACCCATATTCAAATTTTCCAGTTTTTACACTTAGTCCAAAGGCACCAATCTTTTTTATACAAGGATTGGGAACCATAATTATGGTCATAATACATTACTATACTTTTGACGGTAGCACACTAATACTAACAAATTAAACAACATTCACAACCCAGAAAAGCTACTTTGGAGTGTATTAGGGTTATTTTTCGATTAAGAAATCATCTCTAAGAAATTGAGATCTCAATTGCTGAAAGTAGTAACCTAGTTTTGTGCCATTTAAACAGTACTATAAATTTGAATTACCTTTGACCACTGTAAATACAAGGCCTAAAATAGTTTCTCCAAAGGTGCATGATCGTTTACTTAACAATAACATGAAAAAAGAAGAAAGGAAATTATATGACGATAATTACCTTTAGCTATAAGAGTAATTATTTGCATTGCCACTTTGTTAAAGTCTTTTCTTACATGGCTTTCTTGTCTACCTTTTCTATCTCCTACTGTTAGGGTTGGTCAAACAACAAACTCTTAACTGCATCAATTGCTATGGAATTGCTCTTTTCTGATCATTCTTATCTCTAGCTATTTTTTGCCATTCATGCAACCATGTAAACAAATCAACAGTTATTATGGTTAGAATCAAAGTTACTATAGTTGGGTATCAAAATCCAGATGACCGTAATGTGATAGCATGCTACAGAAAACTCTATTTGTTGCCTCTATTAGTAATCTGGACTTATGCCACCCTCACAAAGTAGCCCTAACATGCTTAAGGCCTTCATCCTTCAAATTGTAACTGCTAAACTATGATTCCTAGAGTGATGGTGGGGATTAGAATGCAGTATTGCAGGATAATTCTGACAACTGCCAGCCATTTGATTTTCATCAGCTCAAGGTTGACTCAGCTTTCCATCTTTCTGTGATCGGTAAAGTGAGGCCCCAGATTTTTGGGGGCAATATGCTGCTTAGAGAGGACTCTAAGCAGCATATAAAGCACTGTGAAATGGTATATAAGTCTAATTGCTATTGCTATTCTAGCAGCCCAATCAATGGTGAGACCAATGGCAAGAAATGCTGAGAGATCGATTTCACTTACAGCCAAAATGCTACAAGCTTCATATTCCTACTGTATGGCATCATACATAGATACATACATGCTTACTGCACATCCGATGAGCAATACGTTTGTACAGCTGTGGCTGTAGTGCTCATGTTAAAATCCACTGTAGAATTAGAATAGTTTAAGACTCTTCTTGGACTTGTATATATGTGAATCCTTTGAATATGTTGGTTCTTTCAATGCTAACTACAGCTACATTTACAACTGATTGTATGTATAAACAAATTCACTCATCAAAGACTCCCTTGAGTTCTTTTAAAATTTATAAAGAAAAATAACTTTAAATCGAGATCAGTAATAAACCATATACAAGGCAAACTATTTCTGAAAAAAACTTGCCAAGAAAACTGCAGAGATTAGTCCCAGGAGTCACCAGGAGTCAAAACTGACTCAAAGGCACAAAACAAAAGCAAAACAAAAACTGTATATTATACTTTGTTTTTTTTAAATATATGATAATATACTATACGATAATATACTATATATGATAATATACTATGACACGATAATATAATGTAGTATGATGGTAGAGTAGAGTATACACACACATATGTATGCTATTATATTTACCTTTACATTTAACCTTTAAGTAAAAATAACTATTTCAATAATTTAATTTAATAATTTCTATAAACAGACAAAACTTAATTGCTTGGCTTACCTCTTTTTCAGTTGCAGAAACAAGAGGAAATTTGAGCTTATCCTATCTAGCACAGCACCAAAGTTTAAAGTCTAATAATTTCATAAATGATTCTTATATTTGATCTCTCCTTTTTATCATTGTTCCATCTGCTTTAATGCAAATGATAGCTGTTTTGAAGCAACATATTAAGTTCAAAGGTAGGACCTAGCCTATCAAAGTGAGAAGAATATGAGTTACTATGACATGTCAGTTGGCAAAAAGGCAATGTTTATGCAAATGCTTGCTAAATTCATAGTATGCATAGTTGCAAAACCAACAAAAGGTTTGAAAATACAGCATATGCCATATTTTAATTCATTTTCCATTTGACTTGAAATATTTTTCCCCTTTTATTCAGCAATATACTCACAAAAATTACAGAAATTATATACATTTTTTTGGACAAATTTTGTATATTTTTCACTAGAAATTGGGGTCAGGGATACAAGGAGGGTGGCTGCAAGACATAGAGGAATTGAATATCCCTTGCTGCAAAATGTACCATATCTAAAAATTTCAGGAAATCTAAGAGTTTCAGGGAAAATATTACAGTGATCTTTTTCTGTAGAATCCTATTGACAATCTACCTGTGGTGGTTTTGATTTGTCTGTTCTCCGTTAGTTTTCCAAAGACCATTCAAATATTTTGCAACAATTAAACAATAAATGAAATCTTAACTGACTTGACCCTTCCTCTACCTTGGAACATGATACATGCATACATATATAAGCAAACCCACCAATAAGCAAAGCCTGATGATACATGTTATATCTCTACCTCCATGAATTAAATGTATATCTTATACCTGTGCCTGGAAGCGGTGAGGGTCTTGATAGGGAACAACAGGCTTCAGTTGAACCCTGACAAGAGTGTCTGCTCTGAATTTAGGGCCCATTGATTCTAGCACTATGCCAACTTTAGTGCTGGATAGGGTTGTACTGCAGTATGCAATCTGAGGAGATGAACAGATAGCAGTTGTGGCAAGGAACCCTTTGTACTGCCTTGTTTTGTGTGCCAGTTGCATCTGTTCCTGGATGAACAGGCCCTGCTCACAGCCATTCCTGCTCTAGTTACCTCCAGGACTACTGTGATATGTTCTACGTGGGACTGCCCTTGAGGAATATTCAGAAGTATTGGGCAATTATGTGTATTTCATGATCTACGTTGGTTGCCAGTTCAAGTGCTGCTTTTAATCTCTAAAGCCCTTCAAGGCACAAGATCAGGTTATCTGAGGGTATATCTCTTCCCAGTTACATCAGCCTGCTCCATTAGGTTTGGCAAAGAAGACTAAAACATATATTTAGTGGGTCTCAGGCTACAGGTCTTCTCTGCCAGAGCTCCTGCCTTAAAGAACATTCACCACCACCCCAAATTGAATTACCGTAGTTCCATTCCTGCTGACATTCTGGAAGGGTCTCAATATCTGGTTATATCATAAGGCGTGGGGCTCCCAGGGAACAGAGACATTTAATAAATGTTTCTC